CCATTAAACCGTCAAAAATCATTTTCCCCCTGTGGGGGGGGGGGGGAATTCTGAAAAATACACATCCAGTTGTATTTTATTTGGACTATTTTTGTTCGATTTTATGTGATCTTGGGCTTATATTTCTTTGCCCACGATTGCCAATGCCTTTTTCAACATGAAAATTGGATTTGGAACGTCAGACTTACGATCTAATAATTTAGCACTGCATTGCCAATTGATAGATGACTTGAAGATCTTCTTTGAACTTTGATAGTTATCTGATGTCTACACCTCATTTATTACTTGTGTTTCTACTGCTTTTATATTAAATCTTGTTTGTTAAAAAGTATGAAGATGTTGACATTCAGCCGCTCAGCTTCATATGTCCGGTAAAATATACTAAATTAATATTATTATTTTTTTATTTTTTTTTAGTTATCAAGAACATCAAGGCAAAAAATGTCAAGAACCTGACGTTTTTAGATGTTTTAAAGTGTATCATTTTCATGAACCATTTTTTTTTACAAAATTTCGGGCACTTGTTTTTGTCGCTTTAAAACAAAGGAGAAATAGCCGTAATAAAAGTTGAAATATATTTCAGCTGAAATAAGATCAAAGATTTTTTCAGTTCTGACTTCAATCCGAAAATTCCATCAGCACTATTGTTTAGGAGATGAGAAGCCATTCTGACCTGTTCACACTTCAGATATACCCCCAATCATCCACACAGATCCAGGTTCTCTTTTTTATGACATACATGAGAGGTCCTGAAATTTAGGACATACGAGAGGTCCTGAAATTTAGGACATATGACAGGTTTAGAAATTTAGGGCTTACAGATTAAAGAGGGATTCTAAACCTTTGGGCATACAGAGGAATTCCTAACACTTATGACATACAGGGGGATTCTAAATATTTAGGACATACAGGGGGATCCTAAACATTTAAGAAATACAGAGGGATACTTAACATTTATGACATACAGGGGGATTCTAAACATTTAGGACATATAGAGGGATCTAGACGTTCAGGACATACAGAGTGATCCTTAACATTTATAACATACAGGGGGATTCTAAACATTTAGGACATACAGAGGGATCTAGACATTTAGGACATACAGAGGAATCCTTAACATTTATGACATACAGAGGGATTCTAAACATTTAGGACATTCAGAGGGATCTAGACATTTAGGACATACAGAGGGATCCTTAACATTTATGGCATACAAAGGGATTCTAAACATTTAGGACATTCAGAGGGATCTAGACATTTACAGGGTGGCCAAAATGTACGGATTGTACGGATTTTTTATTTTGTAACCCTAAAATTGTACGGATTGTACGGATTTTTTTTCAAATTGTACGGATTGTACGGATTTTTATCCTGGAAATACACAGGGTTTTTTTAATTTTCACTCATTTCAGCAAGTTTTTCATGAAAATTAAAAAAAAAAATCTCGTCAAAATGAAGTTAGTTTAACTTATTTTCTGCATTCTAAATAATAATAGATTGATTAACGTTTCAATTAACAATCAAAATTCATTCATAATTTTCGAGATCCCAGAAGTGTTCATTTGAGAATATGTTCCAGAAGTGTTCATTTGAGAATGTGTTTATCTATCTGTCAATCTGCCTAGCTATCTGTCTATCTATCTGTCTATCTATCTGTCTATCTATCTGTCTATCTATCTGTCTAGCTATCTGTCTAGCTATATGTCTAGCTATCTAACTAGCTATCTGCTGAAATAGCAGAGGGTTTCAATGACTTTTTTGTGAACATTGGACCCAGATTGTCTAGTTATATTCCGGATTCTAATGTTAATTTTGAAACATATCTGAAGGAGCCATCCAAGGAAAATTTTGTGTTTGCAAATATTACACCAGAAATTATTCTTGAAACAGTGAGTAAACTTAAACCTAAAAACAGTTCAGGTAAGGACAATATTTCTACCAAGCTACTGAAGGAAATAATTGAAAGTATTGTCTATCCTATAGCGCATTTGTTTAACCTTTCTTTTAAAACAGGATATATCCCTAGTGATTATAAATGTGCAAAAATAATTCCTATCTTTAAAACTGAACAAAAAGATAAATTTAATAACTACAGACCAATTAGTATTCTACCAGCGCTAAGTAAACTTCTTGAAAAAATAGCTGCGACTCAAATGTTTAAATATCTTAACAAGTTTGAGATTTTCTATCAACATCAATATGGATTTAGACCACAACATAATACTAATCNTTTTTTAAAAAGGGGGGGGGGGGGGGGGGGGGGGGGGGGGGGGGGGGGGGGGGGGGGGTGAGACAGTGTTGAATAATATTTTCAAAAATGGTTTTATTTTTCTTAAATGTACGGATTGTAGGTATTTTTTTTCGAAAATTGTACTGATTTTACGGATTTTTTCGAAAATTGTACGGATTTTTTAAAAAATGTACGGATTTGTTCAAAAAAATGTACGGATTGTACGGATTTTTTTTCGAAAATTGTACGGATTTTTTTTCGAAAATTGTACGGATTGTACGGATTTCCTCTGAAAATGTACGGATTTTTTAAAAAAACGTTTTGGATATTTAGGACATCCAGAGGGATCCTAAACATTTAGGACATACAGAGAGATCCTAAACATTTAGGACTCACAGAGGGATCCTTAACATTTATAACATACAGGGGGATTCTAAACATTTAGGACATACAGAGGGATCTAGACATTTAGGACATACAGAGGATTTTTGGTAACGTCAATTTAGTAAGGACAATTTTGTAATGACAATTTGGTAATGCCAACTTGGTAAGGTAACAATTTGGTAACGACAATTTGGTAAGTACATATAAGTGACAATTTGGTAATGACAAATTGGTAACTACGAAAAAAGTGACAATTTGGTAATGAGAATTTGGTAACTACAAAAAAGTGACAATTTGATTGCTTCATAAAAACGACGATTTGGAAGTACATGGAGTGACAATTTTGTAACTACAAAAAGTGACAACCAGGTATATTATTATTATTATTAACAATCAACCTACAGACCAAGTACAACGACCTGTAGGTTGAAATACAATGAAAATAGGGTTGAGCCCCTCCACTTGCCCTGGTCTATATGGGATCTAGTAGTTCAGTCCTGGCCTGAATTTTAAGGATTCAGTGTGTATGCCAGGAAAGCATGGATACTAAGGGGATGAATAAAAGGGATGCTTAAAAAGCACTGGCAGAATGCGGTACACGCCTCCGCGCCGCTGGGTTTGAATAAGAGTTTTTGTTTTTTCCTTTTTTGATTTACCTTAAAACGTTTTGACCAGGGAAAGTTGAGCAATGCTTATGTAAATCGTATTGGTATATTTTTACCTGTATATTGCCTTACTATTACTGGGAGAACTTTGAAGTCGTTATTGTTAATTGTCCCGAGATGCCCTCGTTAATCGTTAATTGTCCCGAGATGCCCTCGTTAATCGTTAATTGTCCCGAGATGCCCTCGTTAATCGTTAATTGTCCCGAGATGCCCTCGTTAATCGTTGATTGTCCCGAGATGCCCTCGTTAATCGTTAATTGTCCCGAGATGCCCTCGTTAATCGTTAATTGTCCCGAGATGCCCTCGTTAATCGTTAATTGTCCCGAGATGCCCTCGTTAATCGTTAGTTGTCCTGAGATGCCCTCGTTAATCGTTAATTATCCCGAGATGCCCCCGTTAATCGTTAATTGTCCCGAGATGCCCTCTTTAATCGTTAATTGTCCCGAGATGCCCTCGTTAATCGTTAATTGTCCCGAGATGCCCTCGTTCCATGTAACCAAATGATATTTAACTAAAGTCAGGTAAGTATCCTGGAAGAGCTCTAACCTCATTTAACTGTTTATAAATTAACTTGTACTATTTAATAGTTAAACAAAGCGGTGGAATGCATGTTACTGAGAGGTATATAACTTCAGAAAAATGAATATTTAATGACTACATATAAGGTCTACGATATCAGGTTGCAAAGATTATAAGAATTAGTTTGTTGCTAGTTCTAATTTCCTTTATAGTCTAAGCAACTTTTGTTAACCTCTAGTATATTAAGTGTGTATTTCAAAAAAATCTGTATCAATAATTAAACAAACACAATGTACTTGGGAATATATGAGTTTCTTGGCCAAGCGCTGCGGCTAGGGGTCCGAGCGCTGCGGCCTCAAATGTTGAAAAATATGCTGTCTCAATCGTCATTTTGGGTTAGGTTAGGTTAAAAGTGCAGGGGCCGAGCGCTGCGGCTAGAATGGGCTACGGGCCGAGCGTTGCGGCCTCCAAAATGTTGAATGATGTGCTGTGTCTCACATTGTTCATGGTTAGGTTAGGTTAAGACAACTTAAATGTTAAATAATGTGCTGTCTCTTTCATTATTTTGGGTTGGGTTAGGTTAGGTTAATACAATTTCTGGGCCAAGCGCTGCGGCTAAAATGGGCTAGGGGGCTGACTGAGATTGAAACGATGTATTAATAAAATGATTTTTCCAAATTTTTGGTGCATTTTACATAATGTCACTTTACCTAACTAATTAATAAATTATTTGTTAATAATTGCAAATATGTATACTTTTTATCAAAATTTTCACCTTACCAAGTTGTCATTACCAAAATGTCACTTTTATGTCGTTACCAAATTGTCATTACCAAATTGTCATTACCATATTGTCACTTCCATGACGTTACCAAAATGTCATTACCAAAT